CACATCACACTGCCTATTGGTCCTGGAGTCATCAGCAGCCTGCCATCGTACCTGCCGACCTAGGATTCATTTATCCCTGCATACAACAGCCTGCTGCCTGACCTGTCATTCTTGGGTCTGTCCCTCCTGCAGCTACATGAGAATTAGGAGAAGCATCTAGCCTGCCATCTGACCTGCGGATTTGGAACTTGCCTGCTTCTACCACTGTGTGAATCATTTCTTTGAGATGAATCTGTGTATATATATATATATATATATATATATATATACACACACACACACACACACACACACACACATATATTTCACTGGTTTTGCTTCTCTATAGAAGCCAGCCTGGGAACATTTTTGGTTGTCACACTAGGTAGGGAGGTCTAGTGGTAATATGACCCTCAGTGGACAGAGGCAGGGGCTGAGGTTGATCATCTTACAATGTACACGATAGTCCCCCACAACCAAGAATCATTTGGCCACTACAGCAATTCTGCCAAGGTTGAGAATGCCAAACTACTTGATATCATAAGAGATGCATCCAGAATATTTAAAAATGTATTTAAAGATAAATGACATATAGGTCATTTTCAGTGAATAAACACAGGATGTGTAAGGGAATACTGGGGGATAATACTGACCCTCTGCATCTGAATCTGTTTTCTCACTTGGGGAATCAAGTGAGGATCAAGGGCTGCTTTGATTACTGCAGTGTAATCATAGGAGGGCTGGCCTTCCAAGTCACCTGTCCATCTCTTGATTTTGAGAAACACTACACTTCAATCACAGAATCCTGGTGTGGCACTGTGGGTTAGTGTGCCAGACTGCAAAGCCATTTGAACTGCAAGGTTGGTGGTTCAAGCTCACCAGCTTCTCCTTGGAAACCTTATATAGGGTCGCTATTGGTCGGAATCGACTTGACGACACTTGACAACAAAAACAAATGAGATGGGTAAGAAGCGCTAGTAGCGTAGTGGTTATGAATCGGGCTGCAAAACTCAAGATCAGCAGTTTGAAACTACCAGCTGTTCCATGGGAGAAAGATGAGGCTTTCTGCTCCCATAAAGATTTACAGCCTTGGAACCCCTGTATAGGGTCACTATGAGTTGGAACCAACTCCACGGCACCTAACAACAACAACAACAACGTGATGGGTGTAACTGCAATTGCCTTCGCAGAACCAGACTAAATGATTTCGCAGGTCTTACACTGCGGGCCGAGGGCTGGATGTTCCTCACTCCTGAGCTACAGAGTCTCAGAGAACTGTTCTTTAACCGAGTCCTGACTGCTACTTAACACAAGGCCACTTAGGAAATTTCATTATGCGTCAGATGAGTTCCCTATCAGGTGGCAACTGATGTTTGGTCTTAAAACATAAAAAACCTTATATAGGTAGCACCCCAAATCCTTGAGGAAACAATATATGAAAGTACAAACATAAACAGTAAGAATATTTCTATATGCTGCTCACAAAATCCAGCTGCATTACTGAATTTCATACTTGTATAACTGTGTGTGCCAGATGGAAATTTAGGGCTAACTTAACAAAAATCTTAAAATGTATAAAGATCATAGTGAAACAAAATAAAGAAAAGACATCGTTTATAGAATCTTAAGGAATTTCTTTAAAAGCTACAGCAAAAAACACGACTACTGATGTTTTATTATTAAACAGCTCAACAGTCCAGGTGTGAAGAATATGAAGACGTGGTACAGCGTAATGGGCAGAACTTTTTGTTAGTTCTGATTTTTCCTTCAGAGTCATTCTGGAGCATTAATTAATGTTTGGTACTTGATTCTAGCAAGTCTTTAGCTTCATTTATTTTGGTTGCTAAGTAAGGAGATCCGCCTAAGAGAAAAAAGAAAAATCAGCGGATTAAAGGACACTTCATTATTGACCAATTTTTCAGTCCCCAAAACTGAAAAACACTCTTAACTATAAATCGCTGATATTTTCCCTCTATTCATTCTTCAGTAAACTGCTCTCTCTAAGCTGACTGGATATCAAAACAGCATAAATTATACTTGCTTCATGAAGCACCACACATTCAATGATCAAAGATATTATCAGAAAAATACGGAAAGAAAGTTAGGATCAGGAATACTTTGACAAACACTCAAACATTCCACTGGGCATACATTCACTATGCAAACATTTGACCAGAGAACTTTGTGAAATTAAGTGGATGATTACAGAATCTCATTTCCTAAGACTTTTTAAGAAATGGGATGAACATTGATTTGTCTGTGAAGGAGGATATCTTTCTAGAGAGGTAATCAATTCAAGGTATCTTTCAAAGTCTCCTCAAAACTTATGGCTGGGCAAAATAAAATACCAGTCAGGAAAGGTGACTATGTGCTATCCAGTTTTTAGCACACATGTTTACTAATACAGATGATTAAACTAATAATTGGATGATAATAAAAATAATGTTAAAGGAAATGCCCTCTGTTCTCTATAGTCTTGGATTCACAGTGCACTGAAATAAAATTAGGTGCATTCTTGTTGAGCATTCTTGGCAATGAATTCCTTGTGACACACACAGCACAAAGAAAATTGAGGTGAATTTCAAATGCAGAATCAGTATAAATTACCAACAAAGCCGTTGTGACATGCAGAACTACTAGCCCCAAACTGTCGCATTAAAGCGATTTAAACATCATACACCTTCTAAATTCTGGTTCTGTCATTGATTAACGCTCAGGCTAACAATCACATTATAGTTCACCAGTCTCTTTGCATTTTTTATTTTCCTGAATGCACAAGTTCTCAGTAGCTCACAACACATCATGTAGTCTAGGTACTAATGGGTGAATTGTCCTGATTGTATTCTAGTCTTTTACTGCGATCATACCAACTTATAGAGGGGAAAAAAAGAGCAGAAATCAGATCAACACAGTGCAGTAGGAAAGGCAACATTGCAAAAGCCATATTTAGCTTTTTGCCCTTGCAAATATCACTGACATGCTCAGATCAAGATAAGAGTCACTATGAACACATGAAGTAGATCATAAAGTACCCTTCCTTTATGCTAAGAACCTATATGCTAAGAACAACAAATAAAGTTGATGAGCATCTTAAATATTCACTTGGTTCTGAAATATGCTTATTTTATGATTAACTCTAAACAGATCATGGAAAAAGTTAATATCAATCTTGGTAGGTGTTCATTAAAATTTTAGAGTTGCCAAGATAATGCCAGATATCCTACATGTCCTCAATAAATATTTAAATATTAATTAAACCTAAGCATTAATTGATTGATAAGCATTTTAGATACTTAAATCACAGGTCAAAATATGCTCTTTTAGTGGCTGGAAAACAAAACAGGCAATAGAAAGTCTTATTGAACATTACATTAATGGAAATGTTAGGGAAAAATACTACGGTTTATTCAGAATAAATCCTCTTTAAGTTAGGAGGACATTGGATATCAAATTTTATGGGTAAGATAAAACAAAGAAACAAAACAAAACCCATTGTAGACAGAGAGGGGCAACGTGGACATTGGATACCCAAATGAGGAGGGAGGGACTACAAAGGCAAGAAGTAACTGGCTTACAAGCTTTCAAGAGGGAACCTAGAGCTAGGGGGCATGGAGGAAGGCAGAATCACCAGTGAGTACTATCCAATTTGTCTAGGTGGGTTACGTGCAATTCTGTAGTGAATAATGGTTATCAAGACGGATTGTGAGTTTTGGAAATGCAAGGGTAGATGTTTTGTACCAAGGAAGAGAGCGATTATTTCTCCAGTCTAGAAGTGGAGGTCTCTGGGACCACCAACGGATAAGAGCCTAGAACGGGACCCCACCCAGAGAACCGGGGATGCCTGAGATGGAGACAGGATGATGACATGGAGGGATGAAGCGGCTGGGGACTTTGGATCCAGAGAGGGAGAGGAACTGTGGGCTGAAGACTGAGGGGGGAGGGGGGAGTGTAGAGCAAGGGCTTCTAGGATATGCCCTTTGGTCGGAAGACGAGGCATGGAGGGGATTGGAACCATGGCAATGTAATGATATACAATGGAATGAATATGGAACTGAGGTTCTCTCATGTAAACTATCATATAATTCACAATAAAACATTAAAAAAAAAAAAAGATACAAAAAGACTAGTTGGAAAAAAAGATATACACTTTCCAATTCTCTAATAACATGATCCAAATGAAATTTTACTCTCTTGAGGCACATGAAGGAGAGAAAATTGTTTTGTTTATTCCTAAGGCAGGTGTTACATTGTCAGGGACATTTGAGAAACAGTCTCTCTTGGATGCTGGCTTATGTAACAATGAAGAATTATACTATAAGGTCATTAATCTATAGCATATTCTCATTGTTTATAATTAAATAAATTAAAATTAATACATATCTCTAAAAAACAAATTTATTATCATATCAAAGTATAATTTACAATATCTTTAAAAAAAAAGAGAGAGAGAGAGAGAAAGGACAGAATGTTGTTTAGGTATGTTTGTTGACATGGAAAATGCTTCTGATTTATTGTTAAATAGAAGAAAATCAAAGCAAAGTGTATAATGATATGTGTAACATGATCTCATTTGTATGCTAAGTGTAATAAGAAATAAAATGAAAGAAATATAAAAAAAAACAAAAAAACAAAACCCATTGCTAATTGAATTTATTCCAACTCATAGTGACCCTAGAATCTCCATGGTTGTCATCTTCACAGTAGCAGATAGCCACATCTTTCTCCTGTGGCATGGTTGGCTGGTAGGTTCCAAACATGGACCTTTTGGTTAGCAGTCATGTCTTTAGCTGCGACACCCCCAGGGCTCCATGTTGGTATGATTTTTATTGTTGGTGTTAAGTGCCTTCTAGTCAGTTCCAACTCATGGCGACTCTATATAGGGTTTCCAAGGCTATAAATCTTTGCAGGAGCAGAAAGCCTCATCATTCTCTCATGGTATCACTGGTAGGGTTGAACTGCTGATCTTGTGGGTAGCAGTCCAGTGCTTATCCTATAGAGCCACCACATTCCTATATCAGTATGATAGAAATTGTGAATTGGCTCTCATGACTTCCATTCTATTAACATTTGAAAAGTATTTGGAAAAGTCCCTAAGCTAAAACTGCAATTCCTACATTCCCTTTTAGTAGTGATTGATTGCACAGGTGGTGGTGGTTATGTGCCATAAAGTCGGTTCTGACTCATAGTGACCCTGTACAGGGTTTCCGAGGCTGTAAATCTTTATCGGAGCAGAAAGCCTCATCTTTCTTCTGCATGACAGCTGGTAGTTTGAACTGCTGAACTTGAACTTTTAGAAGCCCAATTCGTAACCACTATGCCACCAGAGCTCCTTTGATTTCACAGGTAGGATCCATCAATTAGATGCAATCTTTTGGAATTTGGAAGGATTAAGTGAGAAAGGTTGGGCCTCTTTAATACTGCTACTATTAATAAGCAAGACACTAGTGTGTATATATATAGATATACAGTTGATGGCTACAAACGAGAGGGGAAGTAAGCATGGATAGAATTTTTGAAGAGGTAATGGTGGAGAGTTTCACAAAACTGATGAAAAACATCAATTCAGAGTATCAAAGGATTACAAAATCCAAGCAATACAAAGACAAAGAAAAAAATGCTTATGCATACCAGAGAAGAAGTACAAAAACTAAAGACAAAGAGAAACATTTAAAACAGACACATTAGTTCCCAAAGAGCAACAATATAACTGTCAACTAACTATTCACTAGAAATGGTAAAAGCAAGAAGACAATGAAATGGCATTTTCAAAGGAGGAAAAAAATTACCGGCAACTTAGAATTTTATATCCAGTGAATACATTCTTTAAAAATGAAAACAAAATTCTTTTATTGGAAAAAAAAACAAAATAAAACAGAACAGAATTTCTCTCCAGAAGAGCACATTAAAAGAAATATCTGATTTCTACCTTCTTGCTCAACAAATAAACAGCTTGGAAGTTATTATTCCTATCCTTACAACAAGAAAAAGAAAATGAAAAAATGGAACAAATATAAAAATAGAAAAAGTCGTGCTTCTTAGAACTATCAGAGAACTGAGGTCTCAGGGCACATTAAAGGAGACTGTGATGTGGACGAGCTTGAGAAATAAAATCTCCTGGGAAT